TCTGGTGTAGTTTGCTGTGTAGTATCGACAATAGTTGTTGAATCGTCTAAATCGTCGTCTGTTGTCGTTTCATCTGATGATTCCTGTGTAGTTGATTCATCTGGTGTAGTTTGCTGTGTAGTATCGACAATAGTGGTTAAATCGTCCAAATCTTCGTCTGTTGTCGTTTCATCTGGTGATTGATGTGTGGTTAATAATTCATCTGGTGTAGTTTGCTGTGTAGTATCGACAATAGTTGTTAAATCGTCTAAATCTTCGTCTGTTGTCGTTTCATCCGATGATTGCTGTGTAGTTAATTCATTTGGTGTAGTTTGCTGCGTAGTGTCGACAATAGTTGTTAAATCGTCTACATCTTCGTCTGTTGTCGTTTCATCTGATGATTCCTGCGTAGTTGATTCAGCTAGTGTAGTTTGCTGTGTAGTATCGACAATAGTTGTTAAATCGTCTAAATCTTCGTCTGTTGTCGTTTCATCTGATGATTGTTGTGTAGTTAATTCATCTGGTGTAGTTTGCTGCGTAGTGTCGACAATAGTTGTTGAATCGTCTAATTCTTCGTCTGTTGTCGTTTCATCTGATGATTCCTGTGTAGTTGATTCATCTGGTGTAGTTTGCTGTGTAGTATCGACAATAGTGGTTAAATCGTCTAAATCTTCGTCTGTTGTTGTCTCATCTGGTGATTGCTGTGTAGTTAATAATTCATCTGGTTTAGTTTCCAGTGTAGTATCGACAATAGTTGTTAAATCGTCCAAATCTTCGTCTGTTGTCGTTTCATCTGATGATTGTTGTGTAGTTAATTCATCTGGTGTAGTTTGCTGCGTAGTGTCAGCAATAGTTGTTGAATCGTCGAAATCTTCGTCTGTTGTCGTTTCATCTGATGATTCCTGTGTAGTTGATTCATCTGGTGTAGTTTGTTGTGTAATATCGACAATAGTGGTTAAATCGTCGAAATCTTCGTCTGTTGTCGTCTCATCTGGTGATTGCTGTGTAGTTAATAATTCATCTGGTGTAGTTTGCTGTGTAGTATCGACAATAGTGGTTAAATCGTCGAAATCTTCGTCTGTTGTCGTTTCATCTGGTGATTGCTGTGTAGTTAATAATTCATCTGGTGTAGTTTGCTGTGTAGTATCGACAATAGTTGTTAAATCGTCTAAATCTTCGTCAGTTGTCGTCTCATCTGGTGATTGCTGTGTAGTTAATAATTCATCTGGTGTAGTTTCCAGTGTAGTATCGACAATAGTTGTTAAATCGTCGAAATCTTCGTCAGTTGTCGTCTCATCTGGTGATTGCTGTGTAGTTAATAATTCATCTGGTGTAGTTTCCAGTGTAGTATCAAC